TGTTATCAGCACCGCACTCTCCCGAGTGAGCCACGGGCTGGCCCCTATATTGTCTTTTTTTATAACTACTATTCCACGTTTTTTTTTTAAACTTAGATTGTAATCATGGCCTGTGACATATAATTTTGTGTATCTCTCAGGCTAGGTCATGTCTACGGTAAACGCTTCACATGATTGGCATGGAATTATAATAGGTACATTTTTAATAACTTCAATAAAGGCTAATCCAAGTGTATTATGAATACTGTACCTTTGACATATAGCCCACATATAGTAGTGTTTAAATTAATTTNGACTTTTTCTGCCTCCCCTTCTCCTTTAATGTGTTTCTCTGTCTTTCTTTCCCACTCTTTTCTGTCTCTCTTACTGTCTCATTTCTTGCCCTTTCCTCAGCTTATCCTAGCTGGCCAGGAATAGGAAAAAATAACTTTTTAGCTTATGTATTGAGCATCTAAATGGCTTTATTTTAAATGAAGCATCTAACCCTCACTGTTATACCTTGTATATAGATTTTTATTTAGGTGACTCTTGTGAATTTTTCCAACTCCTGGGTATATGGCTTGTGATAGGAAAATTCTACCCTAGCTTAANTTTCTGTTCATGAGCCTTGTTTCTTTCACTCTTTTCAGTGAGTGGGTTCTTTTTCTCCGTCTGAGTTTTCCATCCTCTTGTTTTTCTTCATTTGTACTTAGTTTTATGCACCAATTTCTCTCACCCATGTTTTTCTTTTCTTCTCTCGACTTTTTCTGCCTCCCCTTCTCCTTTAATGTGTTTCTCTGTCTTTCTTTCCCACTCTTTTNACATACCTTACAAGGGTATGTTCTAAAGTCGTTTGTATTTGCTAATTGACAGTACAACCTCATGAGATTTTTAGATCAGCTAATGGACTGTCATTGTTTTGTTTAGAATATTTGCTAAGCTATAGATTACAGTGTGAAATATAGATATACCGTAATTTGAGAATTCAAAAACAGATACAGGTTATGTTCAAAATTACTGCCTTTTCTTAGATGTGTCAATAATAAACTCTTCATTTAACAATAGTAATTAATACTATTAATTAATTTTCTAAAGTTGCTTATAGTTTTTACTGCTTNTTAATTATTATGCCATAGTTTGCTTTGCAATGCTGAATATCCTGTTTTGTCTTCATGATATTTGAATACATATGCATTTTTATTAAGTTGTACTTTAAATGTAAGTAATTTTCTTTTCATTTCTGTGCAGATGATCATCTGGTTGGAGAAGATGTTAGATAAAATAATTAGCATTTTCATCATATTTTTGTTAGTGATAGGAACCCTTCTTTTAGCCCTACTCCTGACTGCAAAGGTAGAGTACAACAATTACTATTCCTATTAATAAACTCTTAGTTGTTAGAATTGTAATATGTATAAGCTAGCAGAAGCAGCAGGGAAAATGACCCTTGGTTTTAATATATAATAGCTAAAGTATTTATGATTTCTATATTACTAATTTTGCTATAAATTTGCCTAGTATATTTTCTTCTCAAACCTCTTTTACATGCATTTTTATTTTATCATTGTCAAAATCCTCAGGGAAAATGCAAATTTAAAAAAAATGAGATACTGAAGAACAAGTGACTTTTCTTTCCATAGGAGAGTTATGATCTGATCTCAT